AATGGAAGACCAACCTACACGTGTCTTGAACTCTGTCCCATCTATCAAGCTCACAGCCCAGAGTTGAAATGCGAAGGCTAGGCCAGGCTTCCAGGTGTTTGCATCTTGGAACTACACTAACAGCTACGTTGAAACTTAAGATATCTTAGGGCCCTAACATTGTATTCCTTTGGTACCAGCTTGGATAGGGAGCAGGGAGGGGGGAAGACACCCCATCTCCACTGACAAACTCCCCTCTTTATTCCATAGCCTCCCCTCCAAGAGTAGAGTCCCCTTCCTTCCCCTATGTGAGCGTGTGTTTAGAACTTTGTAGGATCCCCTAGGCTGCCTCCGGGGTCATCCGTCCCCTGGCAGATCTTCTTTTGGGGGCAGAGGATCTCAGCCTGCTTTCTGCCCAGAGAGCACCTGGCACTGGGCATCAGGTTGGCATTGAACAGATCATGGGATTGTGCGCTTGGGTCACCTGGCTACCTGGGTTTCCACTGAGCATCAGTGACGCACAACTGTCGCACTTTTCCTGCAGGCCCTTCAAGAGGAGCGATCCTGTTAATCCATACCACGTAGGCTCTGGCTATGTCTTTGCACCAGCCACCAGTGCCAACGATAGTGAGATATCCAGCGACGCACTGACTGATGACTCCATGTCCATGACGGACAGCAGCGTGTAAGTATTCTGGTGTCCCCGTCGTGTACGTGGTTGGCGGCGTGATCCACTGGGCCAGCCGGGTGGAGTCCTCGGCCATCCTCACCTGGCTTTGCACATCCCATCTGTGGGCAAGTGTTTGGTGGTTGAGGAGGGTGACATAGTAGGTGGGGTGGTGGTAAGCTTAGAGCCCTGAAGGGAAAGTGGGTGGTAAGCTTAGCAGAAGAAAACTAAAGTAACGTAAGAGGTTAAGATGAAGGTCTATAAATTCCTTGAGTTTAACAACACATCTTCTGGTTGTCATTTTGCCTGCCTTCCCTGTGGGGAGAAGTGCTTGGCTGGCCTTGAAAGCCAGATATCCCATCTGTAGAACCAACAGGTGGGGGACGGGGGACATCAGAAGGGTTTGTGTTTAAGTGTTCATTGTTTTTGAAGGAAAAGACATGGAAGGTAGGAGTCAGAATGAGCTCAAATGGACCTCATTCCACTGAGTAAGTCTTGGTGGAATGCCTGCTCTGTGTCAGGAGGGGGCTCTGCCCCTCAGTTTGGTTCCCTCTAAAGTTGAGTCTGATCTTGGCTCTTGCAGGTGGATGGCTTTGATTTCTGAAAGCAATGCAAGTCATCAGGGTAGTTTGAGGTCAGCAGGCCATCAGGCAGGGTCGCGCTTTGAGTTCTAGGTCATTTGTGGTCATGCAGTGGTGATTTCTGGATGGAGAACAGCACACGCGGTATGTGCGTTCCATGGGGGGGGGGGCTGGGTAACCCCATCTCCTGCCATCCTTTGAGATTCTGATTCAGGAGACTGGAGGGGGGCGGAGCCTGGCCTTGGGCAAAACTCCCCAAGAGCTTTTTACCCAATATCCAGTGGAGAACCGTCATTCTAGAAATGTTCTTTAAAGGCCTTTCGCCAAATGTTTTTAAGTAGGAATTTCTCCCACTAAGGGACCAGTTGGAAAGGCAAACCCCCAGCGCTGTGCGAATTCTGGCATGCTCACTTAGAGTTTACTTACCTTCCTAAAAACCCAACCACCTATTCTTCCAGTTTGTTTCAAATCATCTGGTTTTTATTGGCCAGTGTCCCGTTGGTTGGCCCCTGGCATGGAACTAGTTGGAAGGAAAGTTGACGAGGTTGGTTGGGGACTCTGCTAGTGATTCAAATCCTGGTAGCTTTTATTGTGTCACTTCAGATTCCCCTGTTCGTAAAGGGAGAGAAATCCTTAAGGTGAAACACTACTCTTTAATGAAAGAATCGCATTTCTGGCATCCGTGGAATAGTAAGGGTATGCATCTTTGTCCAGCGGGAGAGGTGAAGAAGGAGTTCCACAGAAGCCAGTCGGCCAGAGCTCCTTACTTGTGAAAAATTATCCTTTGATGGGCATTGTTCTTAATACGCTTTTGCTCTGTGTTTATTGAATGGTATTAGGCATAATTTACTTCTTGATCCAAATAATTAATATCAGGATGTTTTCGTTCCACGCTGTATTATCTCATAGGTTATAAGGTTATATAAGGCTATTTGTTTGTTTGCTGTTGTCTGTGTGCTTGCTGCCACTGGTAGCATGACTCCTTCAGCTTTCGTTGTTTTGTGGGTTGCGTGGGAGCCTTAGCATTATGCGTAAAATGAGGTTAAGTCGGATTTGAATGAGGGCATTGAGTGCCTCTCCCAAGTCAAAGGTGGTTTACGGAAAACCAGAGCCTGCTGTGTAGTTTTCTTCGAGACTCTTCTTGGCTTGCTTCCTGGCCCTTGGCCGCGTGTCATTTCCATCCCCATCGAAGTGTTATTCTAGGTTTGTGATGAGATAACTTGGGTGTGGTCTCCATATACGGTTGAGCCTCACAAGACCCAATCAGAAAGGTGGGCAGTGCCCCGTGCCTTACAGATGGCAGTAAGGCCCTTGCGCCCACACTTCCCACGCCAGGCACAGAACTCGGCTCCAGGCCAGATGCAGACCCCCGCCCTTTGCCCCT